GAACGATTAATGTAACGCCCTGATTAACATTCCGCAGGGTCGTGCCAAGTTCCAAAATCCGTGCAAATATTCGCCGTCAGTATGTAAACAACATTCCCGGCCAATGCCATTGCCCAATCTAGCCAGCGTCATACGCTTTAACGACATGATTAGAGTAATGATGTAACGAGCTGACGGGAAAAGTATCGACACGCGCAAATCGTCCCATCGTTTCTTCCATTTCCACGATGATTGCTAGGTGGAGTAGAAAACCCTAATGCTGCCGATACCTTTCGCCGACGGCAACCTCTTTCTGCAAATAACATTATCGGCTATTTATCAGTCCCGATTCATTAAACGATGTTCACTCTTTCTCTCTCTATCTCTCTCTTTCTCTCTCTCTCTCTCTCTCTCTCTCTTGCACGCGTCTACGTGCTATGTACAAACGAATGAGCGTTGTTGCGCAATTGCTTATCGATAAGCTTACTACCTATCGTTTTTTTTTTCACTCTGTTCGATGCTGCGGGAACAACGGGAAAAGCCGTTGCGTCCAAATACAATACGTGGATTTGCACAGGCGATTTGTATTTGCCGTTTTATAATATGTAAAGCTGTAATAACGGGCGAAATGACGATTATTACTAGCTGACGTTACGTAGTGCAATCGAGTAATAATATTCCTCGGCAGTGTAAGGCTTTGAAAACAGCATATTGAAAGAGCGAGCAAACTACATTTTTTGCATTTCTCCGTAAGAGTTTGTTGTAATAGCCGATCCCGTGAAACTCTCTTCGCTACGAGAAGAGGCAAGAGAAGAAATAATGAAAGAAAAGGGGACAGCGTAGTCGCGATTGAAGGTTTGGTCGACGTGGAAAGGTCAAACAACAAAAGGCGAACGTCAAAGCAGGAGAAAATTTGTTATGTCGCCAACTGTCAAAATTCAATTTCTACGACTTCAGTAGGGGCGCAAATATTTTCCCAAGTGAGCGCCATTCGATGGCGCTCGACATTGCATCAGGCGACTTTGGCTCGACGATCGCCTACCAATAAAATTCTTCTCAAACTGTTTCAATTTTCTTCCCCTTATATCCTTACTTCCATCTCGCTACCCTTCGTGGCGCGAGAGCACAAAATTCCTGTGCTCACGATCCATTGACGTAGAGACGTCTTCTTTCCTCCAGCTTGTAGGTGGAGCCGTTGAGGATGGTACCGTTACCCGCACGCAGCTTGGACACGCTGCGCGAAGTGCGAGTTTCTCTCGAGCTTTCTTCGGCTCGTTGGCTTCGGAAAGCCGCACTTTGACTTAACGGGGACACTTAG